GTTTCTCTAGATATCTATATAGATGTCTGTGTAGATGTGTATAGTTATGTGTGTGTGTGTATATATATATATATACAGAGAGAGAGAGAGGTTTGTGTAGATATATGTAGAGATGTGTTTGTAGCATGTTTTTATATATGAGTGTGTAGATATGTGCATACATGTCTGTATGCGCCTGTGTGTGTCTATATATGTGTATGTATGTCTCTCTCCCTCTCTCTCTCTATATATATATATATATAGAGAGAGAGAGAGACAGACAGACAGACATTTAATAGCATATAAAAATAGATTTTAGCAAGTTTTAAATATAATTGCCTATTGCTGCATCTTTTAAGATAAGGCCCTTCTGTAATCCAATATTTACGTTTGACCCTTGGGGGTTGAAATTTATTTTTTAACTCTTAGCTGAAACAGGGATACATTTTATTGCCTCTGTGTCATGCATTCCATATAATCTTTTAGTCCAATTAATATCTAGATTGTATATTTTGTAGCTTGTTTCATGTTGGTGCAGAGAATCAATGGGGGCAGAAAAATGGCTTTCCACTTTATATTGGTCAAAAGATCAAACATAAACACTTTTGACATTTGAATACTCTCTCTTGTATATGTTTCTGTTGTATCATCTCTTTTTGGTGATGGGCATATAAAAAAATGTGGCATATCATCTCGATCCTTTCCTCCTCTCTCTTACACACACTTCTCTCTCTGAATCTCTCTCTCTCTCTCATCCTCTTTTTTCTCTCTCCCTTGCCCCATTTTCTTTCTCTCTCTCTCTCCCTCCCTTGGCCCCTTTTCTCTCTCTCTCAACCCATGGCCCCCTTTTTCTCTCTCTCTCACCCTTGAAAGTTCTTTCTCTCTCTCTCTCACCCTTGGCCCCTTTTCTCTCTCTCTCTCACCCTTGGTCCCTTTTCTCTCTCTCTCTCTCAATAAATGTGAATTTCTCTCTCTCTACCTTGCCCCATTTTTTTTCTCTCTCACCCTTGCCCCCTTTCTCTCTCCTTTGACCCGTTTTCTCTCTCTCCTTTGACCCGTTTTTCTCTCTCTCCTTTGACCCGTTTTCTCTCTCTCCTTTGACCCGTTTTCTCTCTCTCTCCCTTGCCCCCTTTCTCTCTCTCTCTCTCCTTGCCCCCCTTCTCTCTCTCTCTCTCTCTCTTGCCCTTTCTCTCTCTCTCTCTTGCCCCCTTTCTCTCTCTCTCTCTTGCCCCCCTCTCTCTCTCTCTCCCTTGCCCCCTTTCTCCCCTTGCCCCCTTTTCTCCACCTCTTCTCTCTCTCTTGCCTTTTCTCTATATATTTTTTCCTGTATATTATTAATATAAATTTTAGCTCTGTTGTTATATATTGACCACTGTTTTAACACCACTACTCAATGTTAGATGGTTTATATCTATCTATCTATCTATATATATATATATATATATATAATTATTTATTTAAAAATATGATTCCAACGCTACATAAGAGTTCTTTCCTATTTTCTATATATTTTTACACACACACACACATATATATATATATATATATATATATATATAGTGTACAGTGTACTGGTTGTAATAATAAAGCAGTGCTTGATGTAAAAGAACAGAGCTAATATTTATCTATATTTGTTCTCCACTGCTAGATGCTAATTGCAGTTTGTGTCTGATAATTGTCATATACATGAAACTGAGTACCAAGAAGCAGTGAGGAACAAATATATATTTCTCCTTACTCTGTATGTATATATATATATATATATAATCATTTCACCCCATGCAAAGCAGTAAAGCCACTATGATACAAAGGAATAATTGGTGTGAAAGGATAAGAAAAAGATAAGAAGTGAGAACTCAAGAAGAATAGATAATGATTGACATGGCATTTAAATTTTTAAAGATCAAATTGGGCTGGAAAGCATGGAGCCAGAAGAATGTTCTACAAGTGAGAAGTGTAAAAAAAGAGGCTGTTATCATAGAACTTACGGTTAAATCTAGTCAATTCATCTGTAAATTGATGAGACCTTTCTGCCAATCTAGTACTGTACTTAAATTCAAAAGTCAGGATACCATAGTGGGAAATTCATGCAAACAATTACCATGAAATTATTTACAGGAAGAGTGTGAGGAATCTACATTACAGTGGTGAGGAAAGTGACTGAAGCTGAGATGCCAGGTCTGAGCCAATAATATTACTGATTCTTATTTGCATCAAGCATCTCTAAATATATATAGCAGGAGCACCAGATCATATGTGGCAGCAATATTGAAAAAGTAAACTTTATATATATATATATATATATATATATATATATATATAATCTAATCTTATATATATATATATATATATATATATATATATATAATCTTAGATTCTTTTTATATGTATATATATATATATATATATATATATATCTTATATTCTTTATATATATATATATATTCTTTATTTATTTTTATATTTATATATATATATATATATATATATATATATATATATATATATATATATATTCTTACATTCTTTATAAAAAACATGTATATATATTCTCTTAATGAGAACAAAATTTAATATATAAATTCCAACATTCACAGCATTAATCCAAAAATATACCATTTTCAATTCTCACCGTTGAAGTTTTAGTTGAAATTTATTGAATAAAGTTGCATCTTTGTAAAGTGAGTCAAATGATTTTTAAAAATATGATAAAATAATATATATATATATATATATATATATATATATATATATATATATATTCTTTATATATATATATATATATATATATATTTTATATATATATATATATATAAAACATTCTATATATATATATATATATATATATATATATATATATATATATAAAAATGTAAGATGAATAATCATAGAGAATAAAAACACTGTGGATTTAGCAAAACATCTTCCTTATGTCTTTTTTATATAAATATATGAATATAAGGTAAATTATCGGATGAATTTTTCCCTTATGGCACCTCATCTTTATGAATTTAAATTTTATAAATATATAGATTGAATATAAAAGACGGCAAGGTCCCTTTTAATCAAATCATTTTACAGTTGAATAGGCTAGATGAAACCATAAGTTCTATGCTAACAATTTCTTTTTTCACTTGTTGAACTCTCTTCTGGCTCCATGCTTTGATCTTTAAAAATTAAAATGCAATGTCAATCATTATCTATTCTTCCTGATTACTCTTCTATTGTTCTTGCTGCTTAGCTTTTTTTCTTATCCTTTCGCACCTAGTAACCCTTTGTGTCTTTACTGCCTTGCATGGGGTTAATTCAATTTAAAAACAAAATCACATTCAGTCCAAACAACCAGTCCTTCTGTTTGTGTAGAGAGTGTTGTTTTGATTTAATTAAAATGACAACTATGGTGGTTGGCAATACGCTTTTAGTGACAACAGAGAAAAGTGGGGGGAACGAGAAATAAAACCAGAGCAATCTAAACTAATAAAAGTAAAATTCTTGTGCACACTGAATAGAAAAAGAAACATGAAAAATAAAAAAAAAAAAGGCCAAAAATCAAGAAAAAAGTGTTACTGATTACAATTAAATGGTCATGGATTGGAGAAAAAAAAATATATTGTAATTTACATATTCTGATGTATATGTAGATATCGCATGAACCTGAACTTGAAAATTTATTTAAATAATGGTGGTCAAAGAAGAGAACCCCTTTAAGTCCTGTTCCACGAAATAACAGTTCTGGATAATGTTCTGCTCTCAAAATGGGCACAATTACAAATACATTTTCAGATGGAATTTGAAAATTCTTGAAGAATGATTTTGCATGACAGATCCTAGCTGTGAAGGCTTGAACTGGCAGAACTACAGAACGTAAATATTTTTTTGAACATTCCATCTGGTAATGACATTGTGTCATTTAAGAGGCTAGTAATATTTATCTGTCGGATTCCTTTTTTTTCAAAATTTCGAGAATAATTTCTTAATTGAATTTAGGCTGTATAAATAATTTTGAACTCTGTCAAGGCTGCATATATGATAAGATATATTAACAGATTTCATATGTTTCTGTAGAGTGAATAATGGTTAAAGTTAAATAAATAGCAACGACTGATTTAACAGATGGAATTGACAAGGTTTACAATAAAACAACAAAGAAAAAAAAAAAGAACAGGACCAAATATAAAGCAAGCAAACAATATATGAAAAAAAAATTAACTGTAATAAGAAAAAAAATCTGAAAATGATAGAATTGGGGTTGAACACACATCCTTAAATTTGGATAACATAATTTATATGAAATTTAAATTGCAAGACAGACCAGGACTAAATCAAGGAAACCAAAACTTTAATTTTTTATCAAATTTTAAAAGATTGTTAACTCCCATTTGTATTTTGAAAATTTCATTTTTGTTGGGCAGGGAAAATGTTTTTGACAGTTTAACCTAACCATATTGGCACAGTTATATAAGAATATATATATATCCTTTCCAAGTTATATTCTATATATATATCCATATAAACACCAAAGGGGATGTATATATTAAATTTTTTTTTTTTTAGATCAAGTTTGTTAAATTTAATTAGAATTTTTATTTTATCCGGATGCTGGTCTATCTTAACAGTCATGTTTGTGATTGGGGAGAGTTCTGGTCTGCCTTTCCATTGAGCAGTTCTGAAGCCTCCATTTCATATTGCCATTCACCACATCATAATCAGTAGATGGGCAAGGTGTTGAGGTAATGGGTTCTGTGTTAATTGACTAGTCATTTAAATATGGGTTAAATATGTTTAAAAATCACTAGACCAAAACATGGTTCCAGCAAAATAAATAAGTTCAGGAGGCTTGGACAATTCTTGAAAATTTTATATTATGATATCATTTACATATTAATTGAAATATATATAATATATTTTTAATTATTACTGTTTGTTTCTTTTGATAATTTTGAATAAAACATGCTCTTGAAATAAAAAAAACCCAAAAAGCTTTTAATTTCAGCTATTCTTGATTCTTCTATCATTTTCAGAGTTCCTGGAACATGGTAACCGCTATACAGATTCCAAGAAAACAGATTCTTACTACAATTCACCATCATGTCGCTATTCCAGTGCCAAGGAGCCTGGGGCTGTTACAAACACTACCTCCAGTGGATTAGATAGTTAATACCTTTTTAAAGATGGCAAAAAGAAGTTTCCCAGAATGTGAAAATCTTTAAGCCACCCCCTTCTTCCTGAGAAAATATCTGAGAGTTAACTTTTAAACAACATTTTTTTGTTTTGCCTAAAACACATGTCCTCTCCATGTTCTGAATCAACATCTAATCTGATGTGTATATATATATATATATATATAATCTTTTTTAATGTTTTTATTTTTATTCCTTCTCTGTCATTATCTGTAAATATCAGTTCTCATTTGGTGATTTTGTTATTTTAATCAGACTCTGTGATTTGTGATATCTACTGTGCATGGGCAGTGTAAAGATTTGCTTGCATGAGTTGATAAATGTATCTTCACTTTGTGACAAATCCGTTTGATGAACTTGTAAAATTTTTTTTAAGAGAAGAATCCAGGAACAACATATTCTGCCATTTTTTTAAATAAAGAGAATGAGTTGTTAGTGTTTAATATATATATATATATATATATATATATATATATTAAAATATAAATTTTGTTTTATATATTTATTTATATATTATATATTAATTTTCGTTTTTGAATTATTGGAAAAAATCCGTATCATTGATATATCATGTAAAATTACGTTAGATTGATTCGGGGACTGTGACCCTTGATTTCATGCTATTTTAAAAATCACATAAAAATTTAATTAATTTACAAATAGCATGAAACACACATGCAAGTACACACACACACATATTGAACACACACACACACACACATATATTATTGACATATATATATATATATATATATATATATATATATATATCAAAATAACTGAGTTTCTTAACATCTGGTTTTGATGTGGTGTATGCATAATATGTTTCATCAAACAAGTTGAGTAATTAATCAGTTTGCCTGATGATCATAGAATGATTTTTTACGCACACATAAATATATATACATTTTTTTATATTCTAACCATGTTTCAAAAAATGGAAGGTAAAAATGCCTAATTTAATTTTTTAATTAAATTAAAATTTTATTTAATCCATTTCATCCTCAATATAATTTTCTTAACTTATTTTTTTTCTTAATTACTGGGTTTTTATTACATATCAAAAAAATCATATATATATATAATATATATATATATATATATATATATATATATATACACACACACACACACACCTTTATATATATATATATATATATATATATATATATATATATATATTATTATCAGGTCATCCCATAAGTTCTGTCCGAATTTTAACTTTTTGTTAAAATGAACGAAATTTAAAGAGTATTTTATAATGTCTAATGGAGCTGAACATTATTTTTATGTTTAGATGCATTTAAACTGATCAAATTTTATTTCAGAGAACAATAAAATTAAATTTTGTTTGATTAAAACCCTGCTAACATGGAAGTACCCAAGAATCATTTGAGGCACATAATGCTTTATGAGTTCAAGAAAGGAAACTCAGCAGCCGAAGCGGCTAGAAACATTCACTCAGTTTATGGAGAGGAATGTGTGAATGAAAGAACTTGCAGAAGATGGTTTGCAAAATTCAGAGGTGGAGATTTCACCCTTGAAGATGAAGATCGAACCGGACGTCCAGTTGAGTTTGATGAAAAGCTTCTTGAAGCAGCCCTTGAAGAAAATCCTGCTTTATCAGTTGAGGAATTGGCAGTGGTTCTCAGTTCAAACCATACAACTGTTCATCGTCATCTTCAACAACTTGGAAAAGTTCCTAAACTTGGAAAATGGGTGCCTCATGAATTGTCTGAAAACAACCTCAAATCCCGAGTTGACATCTGCTCTTCTCTCCATTCTCGCCAACTTGTTTCACCTTTTTTGGATAGACTTGTGACTGGCGACGAAAAATGGATCTTTTATCGAAATGTTAAGCGTCGTAGACAGTGGCTTGGTAAAGGGAAGGACCCCAGCCACAGCCGAGAAGGGAACTTCATGGGCAAAAGGTTCTTCTTTCAATCTGGTGGGATCGCCAAGGAATAATCCACTTTGAATTCTTACCACCTAATGCAACAATTAATGCTCAAATATACTGTCAGCAATTAGAGCGTTTGAACCAAGCTTTGAGGAAAAAAAGACCTGCTCTAGTGAATCGAAAAGAGGTGATGTTTCATCAGGACAATGCGCGACCCCACACAGCAAGAATCACGTCACAAAAGATCGAAGAACTTGGTTGGGAGAAAATTCCTCATCCACCTTATTCTCCCGATCTTGCTCCTTCAGACTACCATTTGTTTCGTAGCTTACAGAATCATTTGGAAGAAACAGCTTTTGTAACACAGGAAGAGGTTAAAACTGACATTTGTGAGTTCTTCGAATCAAAGCCAAAAGAATTTTACAGTAATGGAATTAGTAAGCTTGTTAATAGATGGAAGGAAGTCATAGATAATCAGGGAAAAATACATTGTTGATTGAATCTGTAATTAAATGTAACATTTGGTCACTTGTTTTCTTTATTCAAAATCCGGACAGAACTTATGGGATGACCTGATATATATAATAAGATTAAAATATATATATTATTATTTATAAATATATATATATTATAATATTTAATTGAATAATAAGATATTGCTCTACTTTACTTATTGAGCAACTTTTTTTAAAGTAAATACTATGAACAGTGGAATTTTACTCTATTTGTTCTTTCACTCATTTGAATATATATATATATATATATATATATATATATATATATTATTTTAAGTGCAGATTAAAAATAAATTCATTAATTATTTAGAAATAAAGAAGAAATAGGAAGCATTTATCTAACATTCATCAGAGAATGAGAAATGCTTTAATAAAAGTGAAACATGTTAGATTGATAGACATTTACTATTTGTTCTTTATCATATAATTCTGTCGGATTCTGACCCATATTTGATCCCAACTCATATATGTATACACACACACACTTCAAATGATATAATTGATACTTTGTAAATAGAAAAGAAAAATAATGATATATTCAAAATACAGACTTTCAACACTTCCATAAACCAAAGTTTAAGAAGAAAACTACCCCCGTTACTAGAAAGTCTGATAACGGCTAGTGAAATTTAATTTCTTTAAAAACTCTTTTATGAAAAGATTTTGAAAAATTTTAAGTGACACCATAACGAAAAGTTCAGTGAATGAATGCCAAATGTCTCCTACATGCAAAGAGCTACTGTTAACATTACTATATATATATGTATATATATAAATAATAATAGTCTATCCTCTTAGGAATTTATTTATATATATATATATATATATATATATATATATAAATAAATAAAAAATATAGTCATAAGATGTGCTATATTTATGGGAAAAAGTGCTCAATATCTGAGATAGAGCATGTGTAAATATAAAAGTTTACATAGAAAATCAACATTTTAATTCTACTTTATCTGTTTCGATGTTATATTGCAATTGTCAGGCCACAGTGCTCTGACAATTGCATCTAACATGAAACAAACTATTTATCTTTCAACACCTTTTATGTCTCCTTATATATATATATATATATATATATATATATATATATAAAAATCAAATGGACAAAGTCTGACAATTATTTTAAGACATTTTTTTTTTAGACAATATACACAAAGTAAGCCAATATTATAATTTTTTTTAAATTCACTTGAGGATGAAACAGAACTAGGTAAAAAAATTTCTATATTTGAATTGAAGTTTTAGCTTCTGTTTTGGAAATGAAACACTTAATTTAAACCAACGAAGGAATAATATTTTTTTAAATAATTATATATATATATATATATATATATATATATATATAAAATAGGAAAAAGAACTTCGTTAAAAATAATCCAATTCAATTCCCAGTATTTTAGTTAATATTTTTTTAAAAAATAGTTTGATACAAACTGTAGAAAATTTCATATTGTATGAATTGGAATTATATATATATATATATATATATATATATATATATATATATATATAAAAAATTAGAGTTCCAAAAAATTTCATTATCTTTTATATTTCTGAGATGAGGTATTCGTTTAACTATATACATTATTGACTATTATTCTCATCTTCGTATATATATATTTATTACAACGTTTGACCATTGTGACACAGAGACTGGCCTTCTTCAGGTAAATAGAGACAGGAATGAGAGACTGAATCCTTTATTTCATCACTGGGGTAGACTGTTCTAGTTCCATGTGCCATGTCTAATGGATGTCAGTTATCAGTTGTCTCCTGTTAATTTCCTTCTGAAAGTTCTCCACAGCCTTAACCAGGTATTGGACTTACACTCTTTGCGTCCTGTCACTGGATCTAACTAACGCCGTTATCCACAGTGCCATGTGTCCATATTACTTATGATTTTTAAAGAAGTATATTATTTTTTTTTTAAATCATAAGTAATATTTTATTCCTGATGAGTTGGTAGAACAACAAAACTTAAGTCTCATTCCAAACATAGGTATATGTATATTTATTAATATATATATTTCTTAGCTCTGCCTAATCACATTGAGCACTGTTTTGTTTGCACCTTAAAGTAAATTTATTAAATATTTATTTGCTTACCTGTATATGTACTCTAATGCACACATATACAGTTGCTAATATTTAGTTATTTGATTTAACCACCTCTATACTTATATATAGTTAAACCTAGAGAGCCAGACAATCTAGGTCTGCTCTACTTACTGTATTGAGCACTTTATTTAGTTATTTTTTTTACTAGTATCAGGGTTTTTTTTTCTTTGGGCTTTAGACTTGCATGCTAGATTTATTTTCCACCATGAAAGCCATACATGTTCTTGGTTCTTTCTTTTTTATACCTTTTTTTCCTTTGGTATTGGCTTGATTATTTAAAAATCAAGACACTTTAAAAAATTTTCTCCACGATATTTGAATTTCTTATACTTATAAGATTATTACTACTAATAAATAAATATATATATATATATATATATATATATATAATTAATTCTAATGTAAAATTTTGGTCAACTATTAGCTGATTGAT